CCGGGGTAAAGACTTATCTTAGGGTGAAACTCGAAAAAATTATGTTATAAGGGTACTAGTTAATCTGGAAGAAAAATAGCTAGTTTAATGAAACGTTCTAAGACTGGCATTCCCAACGCCACAATGATAACAGATGATTCTAACACAATAAAGCAATCTGAAAGAAAACGGATTTAGAGAGCATGGGACGATCGACAAATGTTTCTACTATCAGTTAAATAAGGATTTTCGAAGCGTAAAATTTTGGAATGTTCCAGCAAATACACTTCACTTGTCACAGGTTAGAAAACTCCAAAATCAAATATTTATATAAAATTTATGAAAAATGAAGGAAACGCCGAAATTATTGAAGCATCATCGAAAAGAAACACCTAAATCGGCTAAAAATATCGTACCGTGGAATGATGAATTGAAACAAATTATTTGTTCTGTTGAAAAGAAATTTAACCTTGGCTATTCAATTGGCTACATATACTATTGACATAATTTGGGGAAGGAACCGAAAGAATGTTTCAGTCCAGAAATGGGGGAAGAATCAGTAATGGTTGGGGGAGTCTTTAGTACCATGATGGATTGTGGGATTCACAAGGAATTTCAGAACGAATGTTCTCAGAACCATATCAATCTATGCTAAATAATTATCTGATACCTACTGGATATTTATTAGGTCGGGGAATCGGATATTTCAGCGGGACTTATTATCTTTACGGGATGCTATTTATCTTTACTTGTGCAAGTTGTAGCATTTGGCTAATCACCGATCTGCACTTGGTAAAATCAGCAGAATATTCTTGATTTTCCTTTTAAATTTCTAACTCATTTCCAATAAAATAAAACATTATCTCAGCAAATTGTATGAAAGTAAGAAGTACAAAGAATTGACTTGAGGATAGTGATGTATAAGCGAAATAGAAGTGGAAATGAGTTCGGATTGTTGAGGGTATGTAGTCAGAAGAGAGAAGTAAATTTTAGAGTTTGGAGTAAATTCTAGCAGCTTATATTCTGTGATTAAGGTTGACTGGAAGTGGTTTCAGATTCGAGTAAGTAGTAAAAGAGATCGAACTCAGAATATTCGTGAAAAGATTCACTCAAAAACAGGTATGTTTGTAAGTTGGAACTGTACTGTTTCATTCTAAGCTAAGATTCAGGAGCACAGAAGTTTATTTGAGAGAGTGAAATCTTCCACAATCTGTGAAGATAAAGTTACTAAATGTATTTAAGATAAACTTACTAAACGTGTTTTTCGATTGCAATTCTGACTTTATTGACAATTTAATTAAACTTTATAATATCTGTAGAATTAAATAATAAGAGGAAGGCATTGCAAAGTTTGAATAAATAATCTCTAATTTTCCTTCATTAACATATGATAAAATCTTTGTTTCCAATGCGCGAAAATGATCAAAACACAGATTAATTTTATATTGAAATGAGCTGTATACCCCTTTAATAGGAAGTTTAAAATATATTCCAATATTCAATGTTATTAGATAGTAGCCAGCGCTTGAATCTATACGTATTATACAGATTCTATATACATTTTACAATGTATTCCATTGGATTGAAAGAGATAACACATTCATCAATCAATAACCTGACCATCCCAGAGATGGCGCTCAGTAACCAGTAACCAGGTCTTTCTAGAAAACCTTTGCTTGAAAACGTAAGCCAAATTTTAAATGATCGAACCAGAAACAGCTGAGTTATCGAGGCTGGAGTAAAAGTCGTTCTAGGTCGGTTTAAAATGGAAAAAACCGAGTTTCGTGTCTTGATAAAACATTACTTTTTAATGGGTAAAACACCGTGCAAGCGAAACAATGGATCGTAAAATGTTAATCTGACCTTGTCCATTGGGTACAACGATCATCGGTGGTTTGTCGATTAAAATGGTCGTATCTGACACAAATGACGCGGAAACGCTCGGGTAGACCTGTGGAAGCCGTTACACCGGAAATGTGTAGGAGAAGTGACAAAAATTATAATGAGCAAAGTGAAGTTCCGTGAGATTGCTGAGATGACACAGATATCATATGGAAGTGTATTTACTGAAAAAGTGTTTTTGAAGTGAAGTGAAAAAGGTTTTTTCCAAGTGGGTGCCGCGATTGCTTTCGATGGAACAAAAACAGCAACGAGTCGATTATTCAGAAAGCTGTTTATCGCTATTTACTCGCAACAAAAAGATTTCTTACGAAAAAAAAAAACAGAAAAAAAAAATTGGGGGGAAGGGAAAAAAAAATGATTTGGAAAAGCGTTGGAACGATTGTATCACCCTAAAAGGTGATTAGCAAAAGGTGTTATGTTGATGAATAAAAAAAAAATTCGCAAAAAAAATGTTGTTTTCAATGTTAGTCTCGGGAGTTATTGATTGATGTGTTATATAAACTCTGCAAACTTGTTTTCAAATTGGCTCAAAACATAGACATAAGAGATCCAAAAGTGAATTCTCGTTCTTCGGCGCAAAAAGTTCTTACCTTCTTTCTTCTTCAATTTCCGTTTAAGTGTTTCACCTTGAAAGGAACTGTCAGGAAGGAACGAGAATATAAGGCCTCCGTTTTCTCAATGAAAGCGTTTCACGTTCGAAGACCATTCAGTCAAGTGTTACTGTCACATTATGCACCAGATATATTTGGCGGTATTTTCCTGCAAAGCAATTTCTTCTACGGGCAAAAAAAGTTTTTTTTTTTTTTTTCCTTTTGCGATTTCTCAAGCCAGCTTGAAAAGGATTTTCATTACTTCATTTTGCAATGGTAGAATTTCAGTGTATCAATGCGAAACAAAATGGATGGGATAAAAGGTGTTTGTCTTTTCTTTAACTGTATTTTTTTTGTCTAAAATACAAACGTGTAGGAAAACGTGCCTTGACAAAGAATCTATATATATATATATTTTCCACACCTGAGATATATATTTATTTATTTATTATTGAAATAGGAGGTTTTAAATTAGAAATCTCGAATCCACGGAGGTCACCGCTCCTCGGGACTCGCTCTACGTCTGAGAATTATTCCGGACGCGTCGAGTACCCCTCCGGAACCTTCTTCTCTTTTTTCCCTTCCAAGTATGAAAAGTAAGGGGCAAGTTTTCAAAGTCTGAAACGTAACCTCTGATGATGGATAGGGATTCTTCTGTTTTTAATTTTTTTTTAAAAAAAAAACCACACACACACATTTATTATAATTTTTATTATGGAAAAAGATTCCGCACGAGGACCGGTCTCGGGGGCATAAAAAAAAAGAGCCGCCGGTCCCAGAGATTGGAACCGACGACTCTTATTCGTCTCGTTATTAGTATACATCTTTTTTTCCCCAAAGAGGTGAGGTTAGAATGGAAGAAGAATGGAACTCTTTTAAGAATGGAACGGTCTTTTTTATTTTTTTCCCCTAATTTCTTTAGATACAAACATTAGATATTTACTATTATTATTATTGAGAAAGGTTTCATTTCAACGAGAACGAGTAGCCCTCCGGAATCTTCAAAGTCCGACATCCGACAGGGGGAATCCGAACCACTTTTTTTCAAAGTCCAGAGTACCCCTCCGGAATCTTTTTTTTCTCTCAAAGTCCAAGAACTGGAAAGCGGGGGATTTTTTTCAAAGTCTCGAACGTCACCTCCGATTCACGGGGATTCTTCGGCTCTCCCGTTTTTTTTCAAAGTCCAAACCTAACCTCGGGGACTCTGCAGCACAAGAGATCTGGGATCGGAACAAGGGATCTGAACGTAGGACTTTGTCTATCGAGTCTGAAAAAATTCAGACTTCAGTGGATACGGGGGGAGAAAACACCGATTTCGACAGCTCCTCCCGGGACTTGCAAGTCGGGTTCGAGTGGCAAAGTCCACACCTAACCTCGGGGACCCTTCCAAACAAAGGATCTGGATCTGAACACAGGACTTTGAAAAAATTCAAAAGTCTCAGACTCGGATACGGGGGGGAAAATCATCGATTTCGAAGCCGCGCAGCGCGCGCGACAAAGACTCGGGCGCTCTCAACTCAATTGCTCTTCACTCAAATTTTTCAAAGTCCACACTTAACCTCGGGGACCCTTCCAAACAAAGGAAAGTGGTTTCGGCCGCCCCTGTAAGCCCTCCGCAAGGAGAACCCAGTGGACGAACCGGCCGATCGAGGGACGAGTTTCAGTGGATCGCAGTAAGGTGGCTGCTCTCGCACTTACGACACCCCGACCAGTAGGTGAGTCGTCTACGGACGATTCGGCACCACCGCATCACACCTCCTTCGAACTAGGAGGCTCTGGTCAAAGAGCACAGGGGAGACACAGTCGGGTCGACCCCAGAAACTGCTCAGATTACCGAAAAGGCTTCTTCGGCCTCCCCTCCGCGAACGCGGGAGGACGCCTAAGTCTGCCAAGCGACGGCTGGCGGCACACGCTATCTCTGCCACCGGTTAGGCGGGCTTCCGGCTTAGAGGCGTTCAGCCGTTAACCCGCGGACGGTAGCCTAGCACCGTTGGCCTTCCGGCCAGGCGCACATACCAAATTTCCGAACCTGCGGTTCCTCTCATACTGAGCTCGATTGCTATAGCAAAAACCATCCATCAGAAGGGTAAAACTAATCTATCTCACGACGGTCTAAACCCAGCTCACATTCCCTGTTAGTGGGTGAACAATCCAACGCTTTGCGAATTCTGCTTCGCAATGATAGGAAGAGCCGACATCAAAAGATCAAAAAGCGACGTCGCTATAAACGCTTGGCCGCCACAGGTCAGTTATTCGTGTGATAAATTTTCTGACATCTCTCGCTTAAAACTCGAAAGGATCGATAGGCCCCGCTTTCGCGGTCCGTACTGAAAATCAGGATCAAGCCAGCATTTGCCCTTTTGCTCTACGCGAGGTTTCTGTCCCCGCTGAGCTGGCCTTAGGACACCTGCGTTACATTTTGACAGGTATACCGCTTCAGTTAAACTCCCTACCGGACACTTTCTCCGGACCTGATCGCCCGCAGGTCGAATGACCTCGGGCTTCAAAGCCATACAGACCCGCACGAGGCCTGCTGTCTAGAGCAACCAACACCTTTTATGGGGTCTCATGAGCGTCTCTGCATCGGGCGCCTTAACCCGGCGTTTGGTTCATTCCACAGCGCCAGTTCTGCTTACCAAAAGTGGCCCACTAGGCACTCTCATCCACCGTCCAACCTTCGATCGAGAAAGGACTCTACGACCATTGAAAGTATGAGAATAGGTTGAGGTCGTTTCGGCCCCAAGGCCTCTAATCATTCGCTTTACCGACCGTGACTGAATTTCGATCGAGCGCCAGCTATCCTGAGGGAACCAGCTACTAGATGGTTTGATTAGTCTTTCGCCCCTACACGCGGATCAGACGATCGATTTGCACGTCAGAACCGCTTCGGACTTCCAACAGGGTTTCCCCTGTCTTCGTCCTGTCTAGGCATAGTTCACCATCTTTCGGGTCCCAACGTGTGTGCTCAGGATCCGCCTCCACTCCTAGGAGTGTGGCAGGCCGTCGGTGCGCCCCTCGCTTATTTGCGGGGGATCCCGACTACGAAGAAAGAATCAATTTGTTTGCGCCCGTGGGTTCTTCGAGACCCAGTGACTCGCACACATGTTAGACTCCTTGGTCCGTGTTTTAAGACGGGTCGGGTGGGGCACCGACCTACTGCGCCGCAACACCGTCGGCCTCCAAAGGGAAAAAATAAAAGCGGCGCCGGCGAGGAGGGCCACCGGCCACGCCCGGAGAGCGTGCGCACGGCTACCCGAGAACCCACCGGCACCACCAAGAGTACATAATTAGGAGGCGACGAGTCGGAAGCCACCGTCCGCTGCGGACCCGGGCGGAAGAGATCGGAACATCCAAAAAAGTTCGGAGTCCACATACGAGTATCCGCCCTCACGGCCCACAAAAACGAACGGGGTGCGGCGTCCTCTGGAAGGGGACGAGTGCACCCGGGCTGAACCGCCTCCTGGGCGCGAGGACGGCGCCCCCACGTGAGGGGCGCTCCTTCGCTCGCTTCGGCGGAAGCAGACGACACCGGGCCAAAACGCCCCCGACACTGGACTTCGAGGGCCCACCCATTTCCTTCTGAGCAGTTTCACGTTCTATTGAACTCTCTTCAAAGTTCTTTTCAATTTTCTATCACGGTACTTGTTTGCTGTCGGTCTCACGGTCGTATTTAGCCTTGGGTGGAATTTACCATCCGTCTTAAAACTGCACTCCCAAGCAACCCGACTCGCGGGCGAACCAAGAGGGAACCACGGAGCGCGAGAACGGGCCTCACACCCTCTCAGGAAAATGCCCTGATCGCGGGAACTTCCCGCGCACTCTAGATCCACACTCCCGACTCGCCCAAACGCCACATTTCCCTGCTCGAGGCAAGGATTTGGAGCTGGGCTTCTCCCTGTTCGCTCGCCGCTACTAGGGGAATCGCTATTGTTTTCTTTTCCTCCGCTTATTAATATGCTTAAATTCAGCGGGTAGTCTCGTCTATCTGAGGTTGTTTCAAGAAAATTCAAAGTCTTTAAGGTACCTCCTCCCGATTCTTGGGGAAAGCCTCAAGCCAGCAGCCGGACGAACCGGAGAGTGGCCCTGCGGGGGAAAGGCTCCCCCGGCCACCGGCCACTCGAGACTGCTCCCACGGCTCGGGAGAATTCCTTTCGCACTTGAGCCGACGGGTTCGCATCCGATGCGGCCAATTGACTCTTTAGAGTCTGGGCTTCATACGACCCTCAAACAGGCGAGGCCTCCAGTCCCGGAGGCCGCTATGCGCGTTCGAAAGTTCGGTGTTCAATGTGTCCTGCAATTCACACCGATTATCGCAGCAAGCTACGTTCTTCATCGACCCGTGAGTCGAGTGATCCACTGCGCAGAGTTGTCATAGTAATTTTGTTCGAGTCGGTGGGGATAGGGACAGAGAATAGTGGGGCGCGGTGCACTCTACGGTGCAGCTCTCCACCTAGCCCGAGCCCCCGAAGGACCTCAGACCCCCTTAGGCTTCAAAGGTCCGGGAAGCAGGTACGCCCTCTTCGAGACTAGGCGACGACCATATTCTACATATTAGACTCGGGAACTTGTAAAAATTCCGTAAAAAAAAAATCTCGAGCCACCCGAACGAGCAAGAGGCTCCGATCCACAACGACATCCACGGAGGAGGCGTCGACCCGGACACGTCACACAAGCGAACGAGACGCCTTCCTCGGAGGCAAGAACCCCTTACGGCAGAGCACCCGCCGAGGAAGAGACGACGGTGCAGAGTCCGGAACGCCACGCACCGTTATCCAGACACCCAGAATCCAGAACGCGCTCGGCACCGGACGCCCCCATGCCCCCGCACGGAGTATCCGACACCTCGCACGCCCGAACCCGGACACGCAGGCCCCACGCGGCCAAAACTCCCGACCTCATCTCCGCCGGTCCAGAGCACCACCGCCGCACCCGGCTGACCCGCCCGAAGGCTCCGACTCCACTCATCCGGTCGATCCAAAAAAATGCCTCCTACTATTTCATAATCCGTGCGTCGTCGCTTCTCGTCTCCTCCAACCGCCCAGGCTACTCTTTTGAACTCTCTCATCAATCTCTCTGGGGTCGGAGGCATCGTTTACTAAGACCTTTACCTCGAGTCGGCCACGGCGCACCCGGGAAGGAAGACGCAAGAGAGGCAGAATCCACAACTCGGACCGACCGGACCAGCCAAGCATCGGACGACCCCCTGCCCCCGCATGAGATCACCAACGCCTCGCCTATCCGGAGTCCGCACCTAGGCTTTTTTTTCCCTAAAAATTCCTTTCTCGCCTCTCCGAACGCCAAACCCGCACCCGTTCCATGGAGATCGGCCGCCGCATGCCTCCTCTACGAAAGAAGAAATCTCAGGTCTCCGAGCCACCCCTTCCAGAGTCTCTCGTTTTTGAATCACCATTCGGTCGTTTCGTCTGGGGCGGAGCAGCCAACATCTCGGGCAAGCTCCGTTCAAAATAGGGCCTTTCCGAGCACACCCTCGACCGGAGTCTGGGAGAAGCTCGACGGGGCAGACCCCAAGCCCCGGAGAGTGACAAGCATATTTTTCAAGCAATGATCCTTCCGCAGGTTCACCTACGGAAACTTTGTTACGACTTGTAATTCTTCTAAGTGATCGAGTTCGATCATCTTTCCGACACCCCTTTTCCGTGAAGGAACGGAGGCGCAGGTCCGAAGACCTCACCGAACCACTCAATCGGTATTAACGACTGGCAGTGTGTACAAAGAGCAGGGACTTAGTCGGCACGAGTTAATGACTCGAGCCTACTGGGGATTCCTCGTTCAAGGGGCCAGTTACAGTCCCCTATCCCCAGCACGAAGGCGTTTCATCGGGTTGTCCGGACCTCTCGGCTAGGGAAAAAAAGCACACGCTGTCGCGTTCATTGTATTGTGCGTGCGGCCCCGGACATCTCTGACCTTTTTTTGCTCTTTTTCGTGCGGCTCGAAACCGCTTGTTCCTCTAACATTATCTCTCCGTGAAACATCACGGAACAGCCTATTTAGCAGGCAAGAGTCTCGCTCGTTATTGGAATTAACCAGACAGGTCATGCCCACGAACTAAAAACGGCCATGCACCACCACCACCCACGGAATCAAGAAAGAGCCATTAATCTGTCAATCCTCGCCGTGTCAGGACCGGGTGAGTTTCCCGTGTTGAGTCAAATTGAGCCGCAGAATCCATCCCTCGTTGTACCCTTTCGTCAATTCCTTTAAGTTTCAGTTTTGCAACCATACTTCCCCCGGAACCCAGAAGCTCTGGTTTCTCGGAAACTGCCCGGCGTGTCCTTTCTCAAACAGCACCGGATCGCTGGCTGGCATAGTTTACGGTCAGAACTACGGCGGTATCTGATCGCCTTCGAACCTCTGACTTTCGTTCTTGGTCAAAGAAAACATTCTTGGCAAATGCTTTCGCAGTAGATCGTCCTGCGACGGTCCAAGAATTTCACCTCTACCGTCTCACTACGAATGCCCCCGTCTGTTCCTATCGATCATTACATCCGGTTCCGAAAACTAACACAATAGAACCGAGGTCCTCTTGCATTATTCCATGCATCCTTGTGCGGGCGACAGGCCTGCTTTGAGCACTTCAGTTTCTTCAAGGTAAACTGACCGGACCCCGTGCCACGACCGGTTAAGATCGCGGTTCGGAAAACGGCCAGAGCCCGCGAGACCGGAAGGGGCGCTGACGCGCCCCACCGTCCCGGGATGAGATCCGACTACGAGCTTTTCATCCGCAACAAATTTAGCTTACGCTATCGGAGCTGGAGTTATCGCAGCTACTGACACCAGACTTGCCCTCCAATCGTTCCTTTCGAACACTCTTTACCTTGCGATCATTCCGATCACGGGGTCTCGAAAGAGTCCCGTATCGTTATTTTTCGACACTACCTCCCCGAGCCGGGAGTGGGTAATCTGCGTGCCTGCTGCCTTCCTTGGATGTGGTAGCCGTTTCTCAGGCTCCCTCTCCGGAATCGAACCCTGATTCCCCGTCACCACCATGGTAGGCGCATGACCTACCATCGACAGTTGATAAGGCAGACACTCGAATGACGCGTCGCCGGGACGAGCCCGTGCGATCCGCCCTAGGTTATACAGAGTCACCAGTCGCTGCCGCGCGAACGCGGGCTGGTCTTGGTCTAATAAAAGCGCTCGTCTCCCTCGCGGGATCGGAGCTCCAGTGCATCTATTAGCTCTAGGATTACCACAGTTATCCAAGTAATCTCAACCGCCAAGGGGACCGTAACTGATTTAATGAGCCATTTGCGGTTTCGCTTTATTTTACAGCTTGTACTTACACATGCATGGCTTAATCTTTGAGACAAGCATATCACTACTAGCAGGATAAACCAGTTATCTTCTTTCTTACCTTACCTTCGGAGGCGAAGCCTCAATTCTATTTACCGGGCGGAATTTTTCCCAGAGGTACCGCTTCCCTCTCCTTGAAAGTTCCGTGTTTCATCACTCGCTACCGAGTTTCCGCAGTACAAGACGCAGCGCGTCCCCCGAGGGGGACGTCTCAGAGCTTGCGTAGAGATGGCGGTCCGAGACACACCCCTTCTGAGCGACTCGAAAAAATCGACAATCACGGCGCGTCCGACCGCGACCCGAGGATCGCGGCGGCGGCCGCAAGGGCAGAGACAGGTTGGAAGGAGCCCCCACGAACGGGGACACCGATGCGAGCGCACCGTCCGTGCACGGGTTCGTTTCACGGCAATGCCGACCCGCGGGACAGGAAAGAGCCCCGCGAACGGGGACTCCGACGCGGACGAGTCCGCACCCTCGACGACCGGGTTCCTTCACGACGCGTGTGCACGCCGACCCGATGCGAGGAGAGAAGCGAGCCCCCGAACGGGGACTCGACGCGGAACGAGCCGCGTCGGCCTGGGAGGGTTCCTTTACGTTCCTCGAAGGGGTTCAGAGCGATCCCACTCACGACGCACATCCTCAACTCCGATCTAGATCACAAAACACAGAATCGCGTTCTGGACCACTCGAGAGAGAGGTGCTCCCTATAAAGGGAAATGGAGTTGCGAAAGAGGACCGACAAACCTCCCCCTCGACGGTGAGTGCGGCATGTTACGGGCGGCTAAGCCTACCGCGTCGAGTGGTTAACTTGCGTCGTCGTAAGGTGACATTGCACTTTGGACGGCATCTCGCTAAGCCTACTTCCGGTTCATTTTGGACCTTTTTTTGGCAAAGTCCAAAGAGATCTGGGGACTTAGAAATTATTTCGGACTTAGAAAAAATACCGAGATTCGCACAAGAGATCTGAGCTCGCACAAGAGATCTGAATTAAAACATAGGATGTGGGGACTTAGAAATTATTTCGGACTTTGAAAAAAGTTTGGACTTTGAAAAACTTCGCCCTCGGCGGCACTTAGGCTGATTTTCGCAACCCATTTCGGGGACTTTGATGTTTTTTTTCACTTTTTTGGAATTTTTATTTTTCGGGAAAAAAAGCTCCCCCCCGCGTTCTGGACCCCGGGAAAGAGCGGTTCCGATTTCCCGATTTTTCCGTTTTTTGACATTTTTCACTTTTTTTTTATTATTATTTTCGACATCCGAGGTCCCCTTCGGCTCCCGAACCCTCCCGGACTTTGGGGAGTGGCCCTTTCGTCGTTTTTTATCACTTTTTTCACCTTTTTTTTTACTTTTCCCTTTTTTTTTTAAAGTTTTTCCATAAAAACTGCTTTTCTTCTCCTTTTTAATGTTTTTGCATAAGAACTCGCCATCTCCACCGTTTTCTTTCGAAAAATACATTGCCTTTAATAGTTTTCACCTTTTTTTAACGCTTTTCGACGAAAACAACCGAAAAACGCTTTTCTTCGTGAAAATAATATTTTTTTCGATTCTTCCGCTCTCTCGCGATGCTCTTCGACGAAAAAAGGCGGAAAATCCAAAAAACCTTTTTTTTTTTTCAACTCCATTGAAAGCGGAACCGATTTTTCCCGGAAACGGGAAAAGTCGTCCGCGACGCCCGGAACGCGCCGGGACATCCGCGAAACCTTCGGGGAACACTCCCCCGCCCTTCCCCCGTCGGAACGTCCCACTCGATTTCCGGAGAAATAATTTTTTTCTAATTTTGGAATTTAAAAAAAAAAAAATTCCTCGTTTTTTCCGGGAAAAGGGTCTTTTCGAGCGGGAAACGGGTCTCCTGCGTTCCCTGGAGGAAGGCGCAGCTCCCGCTACGGAAAGAAGCCCGGGGCCGCCTCCACAGTGGCGCGGTGTGGCAGTCGGGAGGTGCGGTGCGGAAAAAAAGGCCCGATTGCCGCGAAACTTTCGGAAAACGATGTTCTCCATTCGTAGAAGCTGTTCCGGTGGTAAAAAAAAATCGGAACGATTCTTCTGCCGGATATTCGACTTC